AATTAGCACCAGCATAAGTCTACGCCGCATCTATTTCGAACCAGCATAAGTCTCCGGCGAGTCTTAATCTGACGAGCCGTCGTCTCCTTTCCATCCAACCGCAGCAGATCTAGGTTCGTTAAAAAAACCACTCTTTTTCTCTCCTTCAGATATGGTTCTCGTTTAGATGATTTCCAGTTAAAACGAAAGGTTGGCTTGTTCTATTTTTTTCTGTTCAATGTTGTTTTCAAGGTTATAGCTTGTTTCAATGACTTTGTAAAGTTTTCCGACTTTGGGTATTTTTGCAGTTCAAAGAACTAGTTGCCTTGTTGTTCTGTCTGAAAGTGTTGGCCATTTTGTACGATCGTGAGAAGATTGAAGATACGAAGAACAATAAAAGTCAGAGAGATTTGGTTGGAGCTACTCTCAATTTTGTTCTTGGAGGCGGAATCAAAACCCAAGTGAGTTCTTCTTCTCTTTTCGTTTGTTAGTTGCAATATCAACTTTCCGGGTGAACGATTTGGTATGTTGAAATTCAGATCCGTTTGTAGACTTCTATTGCAGACTTCTTTATCAGACTTCGATTGTAGACTTCTATAACAGACTTCTATAGCTCACTTTTTTGGCACTTGATAGATCATTATGATTTGTTTTATCTTGAACTTTGAGATGCACTGCCTCTTGGTTTTTCTCTCTTATACGAAGGAATGACTGGACCAAGTACACATGCCCCATTTGATATCTTCTCATCCTTTTCTGGTCCGAGCACTTAAAGATCAATATGCCGAAGTAAAACTATCCTAGAGCATATGGCTTTGAGGTATCTTTTAAGATTATTTTTCCTTCATTTCAAGTATGCAAATTTCTTTCTTTATATAGTTTTGTTCTTTTAAGATTATTCTACACCTACTTTTCTTCAAGATTGTGTATTTAGTTTTTTCTGATTTAGATAAATACCGCATAATGGTTTTGAAACTAAACTCATGGCGACTCATTTAACAGATCTCATGATTTTTTTTTGCAGGCCGAGATTAACAGAGGAAGAGGATTAGCAGTAATGTTGCTTCAAATAGAAGCACACATTGAAAACTTGGAGATGTCCCAGTGTTCTAAGCTCTCCTAACTATTTTGTTTTTTCGAACTCGGATCGCTAAATCTGACACGAATCCCTATGGAGTTTTAACTCGCAGATTCGCGTTTGCGCGAAGGTGGATCTAATCTTGGGTGTGTTGGGATGGTCTAGTGGTTGCAGCTGGCCAAAATCAATAGATAATGCTAAGCCAAATGACTCTTCTTGGCCATGAAGTTTTGTCTTGATCATAGAGGATATGATTAGAGATGAGAAGACGATGAGAGACGCAGCAAATGAGAGGCGTGAGAAAGCCATTTGTTATATAAGGCTATATGTTGGATTGCAGAAAAAGCAAGTGAAGTTTTGAAAACTAGTTCCATGTGTTTATATAAGGCTAATTGCGTTGACAAAGTTAATGTAATATATAATTGAATTATAGGTTTAGTGTATATAAATTTATTCGAGTAATAAGCAACTTCTGATATGAAAGTGTATGCACGGCATACAACAATGTTAATTCTCCATATTAGTGACTGATTAATAATAAAAACTATGTATATGACCGAACAAGTTCTCTTTGCGTTCAATTTTTTGGAATTCATCAATAGGTTGGTTATCATCTTCAATTTCCTTGCATCTAAACAAGATTTGAATATTTTCTATTTTGAAGAAAGAACAATAAAATCTAAACAAGATTTGAATATTTTCTATTTTGAAGAAAGAACAATAAAAGGAAGAAGACATAACAAGAGAAAAAAGTAAATACATACCATAAGATTGTCAAGACAAAATACATATTTGTGTTATAGTTACAAACGAAATACCATAATTTTAAAATCTTTTTACGTGTTCAAAAGACCAGTCCTATACTTTCATACATTCTTATATCGAAGAATTTGGTGTGAGAGAGGTAGTATTTTGAGAGAAAAAAAAAATTCTGCAAGAGATCCTAAGTTATTTATCTAAAGACAGACTTGATACGCAGTCTACTTACGAAGTCTATACAAATGAGTTAAAAGATAGTTAAACAAGAAAATTAGTTAGATTATAACTAAGGAAGACAAATAATTAACACACAATTTAGATCAAGAAAATATGAAAAATTCATTATACATAATTTTAGACTACAAATGCAGTCTTAGACTTAAGTCAGACGTCTACCAACAACAGTTAAGTATTTCTCAAACAAGAAAATTGATTTATACAATAAATATTGCACCTAAATATGTCAAATTCACACAGAAGGAAACACATTAGATAACACANATGTGNGAGCAAGAAAATCTAANANNNTCANTATANANAAGTTATAAATGGATTTCTAAGAAAATTAAAATTGTAGACTTTATACGCAGTTTGCTAGAAAAAACGAAAGACTAATTAATCATTAAAAATTAGTTGGATTATAACAGAAGATGTCAAACTCAGCCATAAGGAAGAAAAATAATTAGCACACATTTTAGATGAAGAAAATCTGAAAAATTCATTATACATAATTTTAAAATGATTTTTTAATTCAAAATTACAATTCAGACTACCAATGCAGTCTACTATTAGACTTCAGTCAGACGTCTACCAATAACAGCTAAGTATTACTTAAACAAGAAAATTGATTTATACAATAAATATTACACCTAAATATGTCAAATTCACACCGAAAAAAAACACATTAGATAACACCCATATGGGAGCAAGCAAATCTAAAAAATTCATTATAAATAAGTTTTAAATGCATTTCTAAGAAAATTAAATCTGCAGACTTTACAAGCAGGCTGCTATAGTAGACTCACGTTAGCTGTCTACTAGTAGACTACCGATTGAAGTCTTCATAATGGGTTATGCAATTACGGTAAACGCTAGCAGACTCTATCAGTCTATTGGGTTACTTTTGCATTTGACCAGAGTATGACTTTTTCAGTAGACTTCTCTATGAAATCTCCTAAATAAAAATGTTATTTTTGCAATTGACCAGAGTTTGACTTTTTTCAGTAGACTTTTTTTGTAGTCTACTAAATACGCGGAAAACCGTCGAAATCCAGTAGACTCTATCAAAAGTCTGCTGAAGTGAGTAGACTGCAGATAGAGTCTGCTCTAAAAGGAGGGGTTACATTTGCAATTGACCAAATTGTTGACTTTGCCAGTAGAATCCATCTTAAGTCTACTCTGGAAAGAGGTTAGTTTTGTGTTTGACCAAATATCGAATTAATTTATTAGTAGACTTCTTCAGAAGTCTGCTAATTAATTGAATTAATAGCAGACTAAGTCTGCCGATAAATGTTTTTCCTCATCAATGTTTGAGATTTTGGTCAAACGCAAAACTAACCCGTCCGTACAGAACAGACTTCAGATTGCGTCTGCTAAAAAAGTCAACAGTCTGGTCAATGCCAGAAATAACCTCGAAGCAGACACTATCTGCAGTCTCCAGTTAGTGTCTCCACCAGAAGTCTGCTCTATAAAATCAAAATTATGGTCAATTGCAAAACTAACCCATTTCCAAGTAGACTTCATGTGAAGTCTACGAGTGTTTTTTTTTTATCAAAGGAGAACAAGCAGACTTCACGAGCAGGCTGCTATGAATATTTTTTAAAATAGTCAATTGCAAATCTAACCTTTCGTTGACTAGCAGACTTCTTATGCAGTCTACTATCGCGAACCAGATCGAAAAACACGGTTTTCAGCTCCGCTTCCGTTGTAGAGCTCGGTTTTTAGCTCTTTCAAGCACCTGAAACTTCTAATCTGACCGTTAACAAAGAAGTCCAGCCGTCGTTTATGCAAGAACCATTGAAAATCGATAGATTATGAGAGAACGGATTTTGGAAACCAAATTTAGATAGTTTTTTGGATGAAATTGGAGAGGAAATGGGTGAGGAAGAAGTTTTGAGCTCACATATGAAGCTCTTTTCCATGAAAAATCTGTTGAGGAAGCATTTAGAACTTGATTTTGGTTGTTCATGGTGGTTGAAAATATTGATGATAATAGCATTTTCGTAAATAAGTTGATATA